TTTAACTTGTCTAGATAGAACATAGGAAGGGACTCAGGAGATCAGTGATTTATTTCCAATATTACTACTGATTGACCTTATGACCCAAGGCATCATTTTCCAGGTGGAGAAGCTAAAGGAGAAAATATGCTGTGAAGATTTTACAATAAAATTCTCAAGCTCCAAACAAAATGGAATTTATAAAACACACTTTGTAAAAGATTGGGGGTGCTTTTGGAAAAATAAGTAGTTTCTATCTGTAAGTTAGAAATAAATGGTCTTTTATTTTCGAAAAGTTCATTTTGAGTTTAAATGATAGTAAGGCCATAAAGGACAGGGAAGTTATAACATGAAAAATTAGCTAAATTTGTAAGTAATAGAGTTTTCATTTTTTATTCGTATGTGTTTAATAATAGGAACATCCATTAAACATAATCTATGTAAGATGTAAGACTGGTGTGACTTTGTGGAAACAAATGTCCATTTGTTTATTTTATACAGGATTTTATTGGGAGGTCAATTAGTGGGATAGTTGTTTTTGGTGGTGAGTTGGTATGAGTATACTGGGGATTTAAAAGCCCAGTGAAAGCACTTGACATCTATGCATAAAGAAGTCAAACCTAGGGCCTTACTGACTTTCCATTTCCTTCATTCTCTTATGCAGATTCCAAGGGGGGCATATTTGTGGGGTTTTTTTGTTTTTTTTTTTTTGCGGTACGCAGGCCTCTCACTGCTGTGGCCTCTCCCGTTGCGGAGCACAGGCCCCGGACGCACAGGCTCAGCAGCCATGGCTCACGGGCCCAGCCGCTCCATGGCATGTGGGATCTTCCCGGACCGGGGCACAAACCCGCGTCCCCTGCATCGGCAGGCGGACTCTCAACCACTGAGCCACCAGGGAAGCCCCAAGGGGGGCATATTTGTATCAGCTATGTTGTCATCAGAAGGCAATTTAGTCAATTCACTAGAGATTTTGTTTTTTTTGGAAACCCATGGATTAATTTCTCTAAACTTAATATCTTGAAATAGATCCATGTGATTTAATTTGCCCCGTGTTTGGAGTATCTACTTTCATGTGCCACACAGCTAAAGGATGTGTCTAGATAGATAGATAGACAGACAGACATAAATAGATAGATAAAAAATAAACTGCCAGAAAGTGTGCATCCAATACTTGTCAACCAGTTTTTCTGATTTTATTCCATTCTTTTAAAATTAGAAATATTATAGGGCTATGTAGGACTTTTATTGTCAGCTAATTAAAGTTCCATGATATTTATAAAAGAGGCATAATTTTCCATAGTTAAATGAAAGATAAGCTAAAGCAACCTGCACTCTTTGAGGATTGGTAATTTATATTTGTCCTTATGGAAATTTAGGGGAAAAAACTTTTTCAAGGAAAGAGCAGTAGTTATTGAATTGTTACTTCATGCCAAATAAAAAATTTTCTTAGTCATTGCAACTAGAACTGTAAGTTTAAACAGAAATAATTCAATAGTGTTATTTATGTTTCTGTCATTGCACTTGGATATCATGAGAATATATGTCTTAGCCTTCTTAATTCTCTGAAAACCAGTTTCCTTTCTCAAAGTTGAAGCCAGCTGGTAACATTTCTAGGATGATAGACGTCCAAAAATTTTAGTCTACTTGTTATCTAGAAATTAGATGATGGGCAGCGAGTGTTTTGAAATCCTTAGGGTGTGCAAGATACTTAATCCATATAGTCAAAGAAAAAGTGTAAGCTAACTGGGGCCTGCTATGGACAGAAGACACTGAAAGTAGCAGATTATTTTACTGTGGTCAAACTACCTGAATCTCTCTGGTGAGTTGAGCTCTTTCTGCAGGGAGATGAGTTGTTTACTATTGGAAAGACTTGGGCTTCTTCTTTATTCTCCTCTAATTCATTCATTTATTCATGTCTCTAATTATGCAAATTGAGTATGAATTGTGAAAATATAGTTAGGAAATACTAATAAACGAATAGAAAAACAAAGCATTGAAATTACTCCAAATTCCACAACTCCAGGTGTAGCAACTATTGGCTCTGTGTTATTTAACCTTTGTTAAAGAAAAATTAGTCTGACACTCATTAAAATGGTAAGGAAGACTTTATTCAGGACTATTGTGATAGGTATTAAGACTGTTACAATAGGGGAGAGAGATCTGGCTCAACTCCAAGTACAAGAAAGAGTGAGGATTTATAGCCAAGGAGCAGGTTGGAGGGATAAGTGGATGGAAAATTACTAACAGAAGACATCAAGGATAGGGGTAATTCTTGCTAAACTGATCTAAAACGATTCTTGCTGAAGACAGGCCAGGGTGATCAGCTATCACCTGGGGGATGGTGGGGGGTGAGGAATTTGATTAGATATCAAGACTAGGGGGGTTCTCTTTAAACTGGCTTAGCAGGATTCTTACTAAAATCAAACCAGGTAAGCTTGAGGAAATTTTTGAAAAGGGCTAGTCAAAAGAGGGCTTAGAGGAAACTGTCTAAAGTTTGGTCAAAGAGAGTCTTTGTCACCTTTTACACTTTGTCTATGCAAGTTAGAGGTGTGTGTGTGTGTGGTGTGTGTGTGTATACATAGATAGCTAGATCAAAGGAGAGATTAGGAAAAAGAAAACAAATTTGGGTTCCTAGTATATATTGGATACTTCATGGCAATGTTTAATTTTGTGTAATGTAATCAGGTATTTTCCTTTTGGTTTGAAGACTTCTTATATGGCTATAAAGCAAAATTTGCAAGCAAGTCACATGAATGAATCTATCTTTTTATTCATTTATTATTATTAAATTATTCAAATCACTTAAATATCAGTGAATAATCTTTAAAATGGTAATTCTGAAGACTATTTATTGACATGGGAAGATCCTTTTAATAGGAAACTAAAAGGGGAAAAATGGCAGGTATGGAAGAGTCAATACTATGTGATCTCAATTTTTCAAAATCTCTATTTGTTATTAACACCCAAAGAGGAAAAGAAGGGGAGGCATCAATATATTCACATTAGTTCTCTCAGAATGGTGAGATTGCTAGTGGTTTTATTACCTACCACAAGTTTCTTTCCAAATTTTCTAAAATGAGCTTGTATTATATTTATCAGAAGAGGAAAAATAATTTTCTAATTATAGAATTAAAAAAAAACAAGCAATGTAGGATTCATAATTATAGAACTATGGGACTGACATATGAGACTGAAACTTCATGTTATTTGAGCCTTCTACCTTCAGTCTATTTTAAATGAAATATGTTTTAATCAAACACAGGCACACACAGACAAATTGCAGTGGTTAAATATTTACATAATATTTACTGAGGGAAGGAACATCTCTTCTTTACTTTCTACTTAAGCTCCTTGCTCCATCCTCTACACAAAGCACCTTCTGGGAACTTCCAATTTTTGTGACTCTCTACCATAGGTCTTTTAGCCCAATGAGAAGAATTTCTTCCCTGTTTTCTTTCTCCTCCTTCTACTCCCATTTCTTCTCCTCTTCCTGTCCTCTTTTTTTCCCTCATTATTATCAAGAAAGATTTTTAAATGGAAATTTGGAGTGGAAAGTAGCACAGGCACCACATCAACTATAAAACAACCAGTCATCCATCCTTAGAAACCTATCATCTAAAAGGGAGGTTGTGTGGTAGAGTGAGAAGAAGCACTGCAATAATACAGTGTTTACAGTTTTCTAAATTAAAACACACACACACACACACACACACACACACATCTAAAAACCTGGAAAGAAATACACTAACACTCTATGATTATTTCTGCGATTATGACACAAAAAACAGTTAACTGTTAAATTTGGAATATAATAAACACTTTAAAAATCAAAATTTTTAAATTATATGTGATCAGTATTGAAGTATGGACAAGAAAAAACTAGTTGGTTTCCCTACCGTAGGAAATTTATTCCATCTTGTTAATACATTTTTATGTCTTTAACTTTTTCCCTAGTGCCAAGTCATTGAATATTTCCAATTTATTCAGAATTTCAAGGCAAATGTTTTGCTTTTAGGAATATTACTTCACATTTGAGTATCTTTTTGTTTTACCTCCAAAACAGCCAGCATGGAGGGAGGGAAATTTGCAATTCAGCAGCAGTATTCTGGGATACTGATAATTCAGGTGTTAAGTGTTAACTAGTCATACATATAATTGTGGGCACTGGTCACCATAGGCCCTCCTTTACCCCCATTCCATCTCATCTCACTCTTCCCTAGTAAATGTTATCAGAGTTGATACAACTTTAAAAGAATGTACACTCTTCATAGAGATTCTGAAAATCCAAAATTAGAAAATAAAAGAAATCTCTGGGGAGTCAACATTGCTTAAAGATCTTCATTGTTAATATTTTAATGTTTTACCCCCTTCTCTCTTCTTTGTGTATTTGAATATAAAAGACTCTCCCCCCTCCCGCCCTGCACATGTGTCCTTACAGTAGGAGATAAAATAATGTAATAATCTCAATGGGCTAAAGACATTCCTATTGTTTGTTTGTTTTTGTAATCAGTTGACATTATAGCTGCAACCTTGAGCTCTTTTGGAATTTTTTTAACTGTAATACTCGTTAAACATGGGATAAAAAGAAAGCATGTACATTTTAGAAAAGATTATTGAACAACACTCAATTAGTGGTCATCCGTATTAGATCTATTAATTTTCCATATAAGAGAGACTTGGAAGTCACGTTTCAGGACTCTTAACAACTCCCCTAGCCTGTACTTTTTGGTTTTCTAAGATAAAGTTTTCTCAGGTTTACTTAAGATTTAGGTTAGTCTCAATCTGCTCCTCCTCTACTAGATTGTTCTCAACCCCTCCAGTCTAGAAATTTTGGAGCCTTACCGCTGGGAAGCGGTGTTGGGGGGGGGGGCTGGAAATGTGATGGATCTAGTCGTTCATTGGACAAGAGCTTGTCAATCACAGCTACCTAGCAAATAAGGTGAGCTTTGAAGCAAAACAAGTTTAGAGGGTCATCCTCTGAGAAATGGGCTTGAGGCACCTCCTCCTTTTGCTTAGGCAGCTAGTGAGAAAGGTCATTTAGTGGGCTGCTCTGGCTGCAGCCTTAGGCTTGCTCCAGTATTGTACCCGCCTGCCCCTCTTCTGCTTCCTCCCCCTCAGTCCAGCTTCCGCAGCAGCCTCAACCGCTTCCGTTTCTGCCTCCTTCTTAGCCCCCACCGGTGCCCACGTCTCAACCAACTGCCGTCTACTCCACTTTGGTGAGTCTTTTCCTGTGAAAAAGCTAATGATGGAAGGGCTTGGGGAATAGGGTGCAGCCGGTGAAGAAGGCCCATTAATCGGCGCGGTGGCAGCCGAATCCTCTTCACAGGCCTTGATGGGGTACTCCTTAGACGAGAGCTTTACTGAGAGCCTGCCTCTGGCAGTTAAGCACCGAGTGTACGCTCTCAAAAATCTTCAGGCCAAATCCGCAGGCCTAGATGCCAAGTACCTGAGGGAATTTCATTCCATCGAGAGGAAATTTGCTGGCATCTATTGGCCCTTATTGGAAAAGAGACACCAGATCATCAATGCACTCTACAAGCCCATGAAAGAGGAGTGTGAGGTGAAGTCCAAGGCCGAGGACAATGGTTATAATGAGGTGGAAGATTATTCTAATGCTCAGATGCAGGGTCTGGAGGAGAATCCGGAGTATGAGGACTTGGAAGAATATTGCGAGGAAGATTTCAAGGATGTGGAGGAGGTGTTTGGGGAGTATGGAGGAATTGAGGGACATAATGTGGATGAAGAGAAAGAGGAGCCTACAGGGATCCCTGATTTCTGGCTCACAGTTTTAAAGAACGTCGAGGAGATCTCTCCATTGATTCAGAAATATGACGAGCCCATTCTGAAGCTCTTGCGAGACGTGAAAGTCAAGTTTTCAAAACCCGACGAGCCGCTCGCCTTCACTCTGGAATTTCACTTTGAACCCAACGACTACTTCACAAATGAGGTGCTGACCAAAACTTATACGGTCAAGTCTAAGCTCCATTACTCTGACCCCCACCCCTTTAGGGGATCTGCGGTGGAGCATTGCATAGACTGCAAGATAGTCTGGAATGAGGGGAGGAACGTCACTGTGCAAACGGTCCTGAAGAAGCAGAGGCACAGGTTTTGGGGACTGTTGCGCACAGTGACCCAGGAATTTCCCCTAGAGTCCTTCTTCAACTTATTCAGTGCTCTCCGGTGGGGTATGGATGCCGATGAAGATGAGGAAGACGTCTTCATTGCTCACAGTTTGCGCACGTTTGTCATCCCTAGAGCTGTGCTGTATTTCACAGGAAAAGCACTTGAGACCGAGCAAGAGGGGGTGATCAGGGAATGTAATGAGCTGGCTTATGACAAAGTCACTCATGAGAACGGGTTGGCTGCTGTTGAGGGTGCTAAAGGCCAAAGCCTGGACCCCCAGGAAGAAGATATTGATAGCTGAAGCAGGGAGGTTGGTGTGTGTGGGCCCCCAGGTTGAGTCTGCCTGTGTTTACAGTAACCAAAACTTAACCATAAGTTACTTACAGTCTTAAAGTGTTGTCTCTTCCTGGTACTCTCAGTATAAAACTATGTCCAAATATATATTTAATTTATTTAAAAAATTTTTTTTGTCCAAATATATTTAACAACGCATTCCATCTAGCACTCCAGTAGTGTAAACTTTTTAAAGAAATGTAGAAGGCAGTGAATTCTCTAAGCATATGTAAACCTTGGTATTGTGAATTCATGGCTTTTGTCAGGTTGCTGTTAGTTTCTAGCCATGAAAAATTACCAGAACTGGTAACTGAGATATATGTGTTTGGAGATTTTTTTTTTCCTGGAAAAAGCAAAGCGTGCCTCTGTTCCCCAGCCTTCTTGGTGAATGGGCTTTATTCTGTTTGCACTAACTGTGCCTTCAACTGTTTGTTATAGAAATGCAGCAAGTTATACTAAAATGCACTTGATTTGTAATTTGAGAAACTACTAGCATAAGAATAAAACATTTGTAGCAAAACTACATTTATTGTTATTGACTGTTGTTTATAGGCTCCTGTATTTTATGTGATATAGTGATCTACTCAGAAACCCAGCTGTATTATTTTTTATCAGTGAGGTATAGTTAAAACAATTTTCTCTAAATCCATAAATTGTGCCATGTACTTCTGCAAAATGGGGTTAAAGTATGCATTTTCTTTTCTGGAATGTTCCTCTCTTTTATGGAAATTACATGATTAGTTAAGCTTTTTCCTTATGTTTGTTCATTCTAAAATAAAGTTAATACAAATGTTAAACACTGTGTTTCTTCTGAGGGTATTGGAGTTAAGGATATGGCCTTGTCCCTTCAAGTACCAGGTGGAGGATTTGGTTGGGAGTTATTAGCAGATCAGGTTTATCCTCTGGGTATAGTATGCACTGTTCCTAGGGCCACTACACTTTTTTTTTTTTTTTTTGCGATATGCGGGCATCTCACTGTTGTGGCCTCTCCCGTTGCGGAGCACAGGCTCCGGACGCGCAGGATCAGCGGCCACGGCTCACGGGCCCAGCCACTCCGTGGCATGTGAGATCTTCCCGGACCAGGGCACGAACCCGTGTCCCCTGCATCGGCAAGCAGACTCTCAACCACTGTGCCACCAGGGAAGCCCCCACTACACTTTTAAGAGTCTACAATGATGTTCTGATTTGTTTTAAAATCAGAAGAAAATGAATATTATAATAATAACAATGTATACATAATAATCTGTCCTAGATTATTTTTGTCTTATACCAAAAGAGATGTAAAATATTATTCGTTTATGTGTATATGAATATCATAGAGAAAAAGGTACCAAGAAGGTAAAACTACCTAGACTCCATGAAAATCACAGTGAGGCCCTGGTTTCCACCATTAGAAATAAGTGAAGGAGGGAGTTCATGGAGTGGTTGAGAGGGGTGGTAATGTGACAAAGGAGAAGAAAAGAGGGAGGGGAAGAAGGAAAGAGAGGGACAAGCAGTGATGTGTTCTTCAAGGAAAGGGGAATAGAGGTCTTCCAGGCTCATGGAGCAGTGAATGTCCTGACTAGCTGGAGGGGAGAGGGTTAACAGAATGCTGGAGAGGGAGAGGTGGGGCCAGAGCCCTGTTTGGACAAGGCCAGGGACAAATTGGAATGGGCTTGGCAAGGGAGAAGGAAAAGGACTGGAGAGGACATAGGAGGGGGAAAGGAAGGTAAGGACAATGAATGAGAGGTCTGGAGGACAGAAAAGCAGAGGATGAAAGGGTGAAGCTTATTAGAGATGAAAAAGCATTCCTTGCCATGAGGTTGCTGAAGTTCAGGTGTTATGGTTTTGGTATATTTTGCAAAAACTTTAGTACCCTGTCCAGGAAGAGGGACCCGAAGGAGAACTAGAGGAACATCGGTCTGTTGTAAGTAACCTTTAATCATGCTCTTTCGTTGCCAAAATACATACACATATGAATTAACTAATTTTTAGTAAACACCTTATATTGTACTATTTCTGTGTGCCAGACACTGTTCTAAGCACTTTACAAGTATTATCCTCTGTAATATTTATTTTATAAATGAAAAAGTAGTAAATGTAGCAGAGAAGAATTAATTATAATACTAATTAATACTTTCTTCCAAACCCCACTTTAACTGTTAACAAGCATACAATTTTGTATCCTGCTTTAAAAAAAAAAACAAAACTTACCATTATAGCATTAGTGTTTTCCTGAACTTTAATTTACATTTTAAAAGCTTAATTATTAATGATCATGCAGTATTCCAATGTATGAGAACACAATTTAACTATTATTTTAATGTTGGTTATTGGTTTCTAATTTACATAGTGAAGTAGGCAAATGTTCTATTTTCTAATATTAAGACTTTTTATTCAAGTTTCTTTTTTTAATTTTGCCTTCTAAGGCTTTTGCAAACTCTCTGAGAGCTAAATGGCAAATCAGAAGCAGGAGTGAAATCAAATCATTGATTAGCCAGAAGTTCAATGAGAAATATAGTCACTAGACTGTAACTTGATCTTTCACATGTATAGTCACAAACCTTTCCTACTCAACATATATAACAAATCCTTTTCCTGCTCCCTGCACCAAAAATTTTTCACACATATTTTGAACATGCAAGAGCTTGAGAAATAGAGTTCTCTTGAGCCTTTTTAGGAGAATGATAAACTTTAGGCCACCAAAAAAAAAAAAATGAATGGAGGATCTAATGCAAAAGCACCAATGGTGAGCATGAAATCAACTTAACTATAGGACTAATATTACAAACATATATGGTTAAACAGAAAACAATTTAAATTTTATGAGCACTATCAATGTGAACATAATATAACTAGCAAAAGTTGGGACTAGAAGGGGGATTTCTTTTATAGCTGGGGATCAAAAAATCTGGCAAGGTAAGTAACAGACATAAGTATATATTTAAATAATGCCCTATGAAAAACAGTATAATCAACAAAAATTAGATACTGATTTTTTTCTTATCATTGCTCATGATAACAAGTCAATAGATACTTTTTAAAGAAATCAGTAATTAAACATTAAATAAAATTGTGTTCATAAATGTAACAACTAGAAAAAAGGCAAATTTTCCAAATTATCAAAAGAAAGATTCAAAACTAAACTAAGAAAATAAGTACTGTATAATAAATAAGGAGAAAAAAGAAAAACAGAAAACCTAAAACAGATGTGGTTAGTGAAATAAGATATAACATTTGACTCTCCTTGTCTGGAAAATGCTTCTTTGGATAGCCTCATGAATATCTCTCACCTCTTTCAAATATCACTGTCTCAATAAGGCCTACCTTGACCACCCTACGTTAAATTGTATGTGCTTCCTACATGTACTCACAATTTTCCCTTATACAGCTTTGACTTTCCCCCATAGAAAATAGCACCTTCTAACTCACTATATGATTTACTTATTTGTTATTTATGGTGTTGATTGTCCTTTCACAGGAGAATATAAGCCTTGTGAGAGCAAGGATTTTTGTTCATAGATGTTCATTGATTTTTGATCCTGGTTCATCGATGTATCCCAAGCACTTATAATGGTGCCTGGCACAAGGTAGCTGCTCAATAAATATTTGTTAATTATATTATTCAATATCTGTGTTACTAAATGTGAATGGGATAACTCATCTAGGAATTTATCCTACAAATATACTTTTTCAAAAGTACATGCTCAAGGATATTTACTGTAGCACTGTTACAGTGAAATAATGGGAAAATGTTCAAGTCCATTGGTAAGGTCTATTTACATAATTACAGTCCATCTCTACAATAGACATTCTTTTTTTTGTCACTTTATATTTTTATTTTATTTTTTACATCTTTATTGGAGTATAATTGCTTTACAATGGGTGTTAGTTTCTGCTTTATAACAAAGTGAATCAGTTATACATATACATATGTTCCCAAATCTCTTCCCTCTTGCATCTCCCTCCCTCCCACCCTCCCTATCCCACCCCTCTAGGTGGTCACAAAGCACCGAGCTGATCTCCCTGTGCTATGGGGCTGCTTCCCACTAGCTATCTATTTTACGTTTGGTAGTGTATATATGTCCATGCCACTCTCTCACTTTGTCACAGCTTACCCTTCCCCCTCCCCATATCCTCAAGTCCATTCTCTAGTAGGACTGTGTCTTTATTCCCATCCTACCCCTAGGTTCTTCATGACATTTTTTTCCTTAGATTCCATATTTATGTGTTAGCATACGGTATTTGTCTTTCTCTTTCTGACTTACTTCACTCTGTATGACAGACTCTAGGTCCATCCACCTCACTACAAATAACTCAATTTCGTTTCTTTCCATGGCTGAGTAATATTCCATTGTATATATGTGCCACATCTTCTTTATCCATTCATCCAATGATGGACACTTAGGTTGCTTTCATCTCCTGGCTATTGTAAATAGAGCTGCAATGAACATTTTGGTACATGACTCTTTTTGAATTATGGTTTTCTCAGGGTATATGCCCAGTAGTGGCATTGCTGGGTCATATGGTAGTTCCATTTGTAGTTTCTTAAGGAACCTCCATACTGTTCTCCATAGTGGCTGTACCAATTCATATTCCCACCAGCAGTGCCAGAGTGTTCTGTTTTCTCCACACCCTCTCCAGCATTTAGTGTTTCTAGTTTTTTTGATGATGGCCATTCTGACTGGTGTGAAATGATATCTCATTGTAGTTTTGATTTGCATTTCTCTAATGGTTAATGATGTTGAGCATTCTTTCATGTGTTTGTTGGCAATCTGTATATTTTCTTTGGTAAATTAGCAGGACACAAAATTAATGCACAGAAATCTCTGGCATTCCTATACACTAATCATGACAAATCTGAAAGTGAAATTAAGAAACCATTCCCATTTACCATTGCAGAAAAAGGATAAAATATCTAGGAATAAACCTACCTAAGGAGACAAAAGACCTGTATGCAGAAAATTATAAGGCACTGATGAAAGAAATTAAAGATGATACAAATAGATGGAGAGATATACCATGTTCTTGGATTGGAAGAATCAACATTGTGAAAATGACTCTACTACCCAAAGCAATCTACAGATTCAGTGCAATCCCTATCAAACTACCACTGGCATTTTTCGCAGAACTAGAACAAAAAATTTCACAATTTGTATGGAAACACAAAAGGACAGCCTCTTTAATAAGTTGTGCTGGGAAAATTGCACAGGTACATGTAAAAGTATGAGATTAGAACACTCCCTAACACCATACACAAAAATAAGCTCAAAATGGATTAAAAACCTAAATGTAAGGCCAGAAACTATCAAACTCTTAGAGGAAAACATAGGCAGAACACTCTATGACATAAATCACAGTAAGATCCTTTTTGACACACCTCCTAGAGAAATGGAAATAAAACCAAAAATAAACAAATGGGATCTAATGAAACTTCAAAGTTTTTGCACAGCAAAGGAAACCATAAACAAGACCAAAAGACAACCCTCAGAATGGGAGAAAATATTTGCAAATGAAGCAAAAAAGGATTAATCTCCAAAATTTACAAGCAGCCCATGCAGCTCAATAACAGAAAAACAAACAACCCAATCCAAAAATGGGCAGAAGACCTAAATACAGTAGACATTCTTAAACACTATGAGACAGCTATATACACCAATGAAGAATAACCTCTAAGGTAAAATGTTAAGTGAAGATAGCAACATGTTGAAAACTATATTATACTATCATTTTTGTAAAATTAAATATATAAAAGGATTTGATCACATATTGATTGTGTA